AAAAGGGGGGACTGGGGAGTCGCCAGGGCATGGGCAGCGCAGGCCAGCTCCACGTGCTCCCCGAGAGGCGCCTGGGGTGCGGGCACACGGTCGGGCCTCAGCCCCACTCACAGCGGCTCCCCCGGATTCGTGCTACCCATGTGGGGGCAGGGTCCTGCAGGGTCACCCTGGGGGAGTATGGCGCTGACCACGATGTGTCCTTTGAAGGAAGACGCAAGCTGGGCGCGGGCATTTGCGTCACCTCTGGCCCGAGTTCCGGTTCCGGTTCCAGTGTCAGCTCCTGCTGAGGTGCGCCCTGGGAGGCAGCGGCAATGGCTCAGGTGCCTGGCCCTGCCACCCACGGGGAGACCCGGATGGAGCTCCTGGCGCCCAGCTTCGGCCTGGCTCAGACATTTTGGCAGTGAAGCAGCAGATGGAAACTCTGTGTGTCTCTGTCTCTGCCTTTCAGAGAAGAGGCAACGTGACCACAGAGACACAGCAGGAAAAGCCGCACAGAGACTCGGGGTGGACTGTTGCCAGCACCCGCCCCAGGGTGGTCACAGGAGGCTAGACAGGGCAGGACGGACCCCCACCCCCACCCCGAGGTCCTGCTGACACCCTGGTTGTGACTCGTGGCCCCAGCAGCCCACGCCCCCAGCCCACTGCAGTTCACGCCCAGCAGGGGCCTGCGCAGCCTGTGCAGGGCCCCGGGGCTGCTTCTCCACACAGAGGCCTGTGCAGGGCCCCGGGGCTGCTTCTCCACACAGAGGCCTGTGCAGGGGCTTGGGCTGCAGCCCCCGGGCACTGTTGGCGCCCTCCAGGAGCAATGGGAGTGAGTGGTCCTCCTGCTCGGAGCCCCTGGGGCAACCCATGCCTTTGTGCAAACATTGAGCTCTTGCTGCATGCCAGGCTCTGTCCCAGAGAGGCAGGCGCCCAGGAGGAGGCAGCAGCAGGTGCCTGAGTGTCTGGGGCACATGCACCTGCTCTGGCCTGGGTCTTTTTGTCACACACTCTGAAGGCCGCACCAGGGGATGCCCTGGGCACAGACACAGCGTGGCCACCCCACCCCTGTGTCCACACACTGACTGCGAGCGCCCAGCCGCTGCTGCCCTCTCATCTGTCCACGAACCCCAGATCCACGCCACACCGAGAAGTCCCAAGACGAAGATGTTGCCCACCCACTGCCCACCAGGCAGTCTGCAAGACCCCCATGCCATGCCCAGGACCAGTGCCCACTGCCGCCAATCTCACACCCAAATTCAGGCTGAGGCTCCAGGCCAGGTCCCTCCCTCCCGGAGCCTGGGGCGAGTGGGCGCCCCTCCATGCACAAGGGGGGCGGAGGGGCGCCGGGGTTACCTGTCACTCTGGGTGACGGACACAGAGCGCCCTCCGTGCTGTCCCCACTCTGGAGGGCGGGCGCCAGGGGCTGCCTGTCACACAGGTTTGGATCCTCGTGGCTGGTGGGCGGGGCCTCAGTGAGCGTGCTCCTGGGGGCCTTGCTGTCCTCGGGACGACAGCGACAGGCGGGAAGCTCTGTCTCGGCCGGGGCCTTGGTGGAGCCGGCCTTCCGGCAGCCCCTCTTCAGGGGCCCTGGCTGTGCCAAGCGGGAAAGTACCTTTTCCTCCTTCAGCCTGGGGCCCCGCTGCACCGCCAGCCGCGGGGGACCCCGAGCCGGGCCGGGCAGGGCCGAGGAGCTCCGTGGGTGGGAGAGTGGAGCCGAGAAGTTGAAGCTGGCTATGGGCAGTGTCTGCTTCCTGGGCTTGCGCACGCTGACCCCCTGCACGCACAGGTCGGATCCACCAAAGGGCGGCAGCTCCACCGCAGGCTGGGGGGAGGGGCAGGTTGAGGGGGCCGGCAGGGAAGGGCCCAGTCCCTGGGCCGGGTCCTGCAGGGGCCCGGCTGGGTTCACACCCGGGGATGCTGAGGCCACTCAGTCACCCACGGGGCCCCATCTTCAGGGAGAGCCCAGTGAGACCCGACAACATGGGACTCGACCCAGGGGTGGGGGTCCACAGGCAAAGCCCCTGCCAGGCTCGCCGTCCAGAGTCTCCAAAGCAGAAAGGGCCCTGGAGGACCCCGAGGAGGGCCCAGGGGGCCTCCCACCTGCTGGCCACATAGGCCCGTCCTGGACGTGGGAAGGCTGGACCCCAAGGCCACTGGGGTTGGGTGGCCAGGGCCGCCCAGGCGCCCCAGGCTCAGGGCAGGGAGGGCGGAGCGGCTTCTCTGAGCACAGCCAGGACCAGCTCTGCCCGGCCCTGGCCGCAGGGTGGGCAGCTGTGGCTCTGTCCTCCCCGTGGGTGTCCTGGGGTGGGGCGGGGCGGGGCGGGGCGGGCGGCCCACCTGCTTCCACAGGAGCTCGAAGTTGCCGGTGTCACAGTTGCGGTCCAGCTTGCGGTCCACCACCACCTTGATGGTGTCCTCCTGCACCTGGGCGCACAGCTGGGCCGTGACGGGCGTGGACGGGTGCATGGAGGGGCTGGAGTTGATCTCAATGAGCCAGGGCTTGAAGTCGCTGCCCAGGATGAAGTCGGCGCCGTAGAGCTCGAAGCTGTTCTTGCGCGCCTCCACGCGGTCCTGGGCCAGCCTCACGGCGTGGCTGATGGCCCTCTTCATGGACGGGTAGATGACGCTGCCCCACACGGCCCCGCGGCCCTTCCTCTGCAGGTACTCCTGGAACCTGGAGCTCGTCCACGTGTTGTGGCCGGGCAGCAGGGGGCTGCGCCCGCTGTCATTCTGCAGGTTCCTCTGGATGGAGTTGTTGCACAGGTGGGCAGCACTGCCAGGCGAGGAGGCCATGAGGCCGGGCGGACTCCGCCCCAAGGGCCTCCCACCCTGGTGCAGGGCAGCCACAGCCCCGGCGCAGCCTGCATCTCCCAAGCCTCGGTTCCATCTGGACGAGGCCCCCGGGCAGAGCTGAGCCGGTGAGACCAGGTGGAAAAGTTCCCCTGCCCAAAGCCCCAGCCAACGGACCCGCGCTGTTGCCTTGTTCCACCCAGGACGGGGGAGGCTCAAGCGCTCTGAGCGCAGGTGCACTGGGCAGGAGGCCATCAGGCCGGGCAGAAGAGTGGAAGCCACGCCTCCCCCACGACCGTGTGGAAGCCACACACACCCCAGGGTACAGACATTTCAATGCTGGGGGCCGGTGCTGTGGCGCGGTGGGCTGAGCTGCTGCCTGGGACGCCCAGCTCTCCTATCACAGCACCGAATCGAGTCCCGGCTCTTCCACTTCCACTCCAGCTCCCTGCTGGTGCACCCAGGAGAGATGGCTCAAGCTTGGACCCCTGCACCCACGTGGGAGACCTGATGGAGTCCCAGGCTCCTGGCTGCAGTTTGGTTCAGTCCTGGCTGCTGTGCCTATTCAGGGAAATCTTGCCCTGTCTCTCCTCTGTCACTCTGCCTTGCAATCAATCAATCTTCTTAAAGCAACTGAAATTGTGGTTTTAGGGTGGGGGGCCCTCCCTGGCTTGCCTGTGACGTGGCAGGGCGGGGGGCAGGGGTGTGGCTGGCAGGGGCCCAGGAGGCTCCTTTGGCGCAGCTGAGTTCCTGGAAGCCCCCCCAGGGCCCTACTCCAGGTGTGAGTCCAGGTGTGACTCGGGGTGTGACTGGGTGTGGCCCCGGCCTCCAGCCTGGGGCCCCCAGCAAGGTCTCTGCTGAGCAACCCCCAGCTCTTCCTGGACTCTGACTGGCAAAGCCCCCAAGGTGTCCTAATCCCAGCTCTGCTGCCCGAGACGCTCACAGGACACCAACGGGCAGCCGGGCGTTCTGTCGCGTGGCTGGCCCTTTCCCGAGGATTCCCAGGCAGGCTGTCACCAGCCTGTCTGCTCCGGGGCCCTGGGAGAAGAGGGGCGCCCCGTTCCCGGGTGCCTGAGCCTCAGCCTCTGGGGTGCCGCCCACACGCCGGCAGTGCCTGTTGCGCCGTGGGTGTGGATGCTGGCTCTGGGGCCAGCAGGCTCACCTCGCACTGACCTGTCCAGGTTGTGCAGCGAGAAGCGCTGTGTGCAGAAGCGCAGGTAGCTCTCCTTGTAGAACCAGACGGTCAAGGGGTTCCAGTCGGTGACCAGGAACCACTGCCGAATGTCGAACTTGGTGTCGTGGATGAGCATGGGCGTCTCGATGTACTTCTGGATCACCCAGCGGCTGTCCTTGGTGGGCGGCTGCTCCGCGGCCACCAGCTCCAGGATCTCCTCCACACGGTCCATGCATGTGATGCCTGCAAGAGGCCAGCGCTCAGCCCTGGCTAGGGTCTGGGACATGGAGGCAGCCCAGTCGGGTGGGCAGGCAGTGCACAGCTGGGGTGAGGCTGCGGTGGCTGCCCCCACACTTCCCCAAGGACACAGATCCCAGGAGGGCAGGCACTTTGAAGATGGAGCGAGCAGTTGCTGGGCCTCCGCCCTCAGACAGGCACCTCAGGCGGGGCTGCAGGGTCTTCAGAGGGCTGCAGGGGGTGGGCAGTGAGAGCTAACCCTGGAGGGTGCCTGGACGGAGGGAGGGGCCAGGGAAGGGCAGGACGGGAGCGGGGTCCACGCTGCCTGCTCTGAGCTTTGCACTCCCCAGCCGCCCGCCCCAGCCAGGCCTCCTGACAGCGAACAGGGGCACGGGGGAAGTTACGGCCTTGCTCTCAGCTCTGCACCGCACGCAGTGCCCGCCACAGACCCTCGGGGCCACCCTCCATGCCGTGATGGCCCTGATGCCACAAGACGGAGTCCTGGCCTTTGCCCACGCCAACCCATGATGGACGCCGAGTCCAGGTGAGAGCAGGGCCGTCCTGGCCGTGAGCCCCGGAGATGGGCACCGTGTGTCCGTCACACAGCACATCCGGCCTGACAGTGGGAGCCTGGTCCACAGATGCCCCGAGGAGAGCTGAGCACCCCCCAAGACTTCAGTTTCTTAAGTTGGTGAATGGACACCTGGCCATCTGGGCCAGCACACGGGGCCCGGCCAAGAGCACGAAGCCACAGCCAGTGACCAGCAGGGAGGGGACGGCTGGGTTTGAATGGTGGGCTGTGTGTCCACCGAGCACCCCGGGAGGAAGCGGAAGCAGGTATGTGATGGGCAGAAGGAGACAGACGCCTGGGAAGAGGAGTGGGCCCAGGACAGACCCTGGGGTGGGGGCGCTGTGCCCAGCCAGGCAGGGTGGGCACCAAGAGAGGACAGGTCCCCAAGGAGCACAGGATGCCACAGACCGTGGACCCTCTGACAGAGGGGGTGTCCCAGGGCAGAAGGTGACAGAGGGTGTCCCAGGGCAGAAGGTGGCAGAGGGGTGTCCCAGGGCAGAAGGTGACAGAGGGGTGTCCCAGGGCAGAAGGTGGCAGAGGGGTGTCTCAGGGCAGAAGGTGACAGAGGGGTGTCCCAGGGCAGAAGGTGACAGAGGGGTGTCCCAGGGCAGAAGGTGTTCAGAGCTGAATGCCACAAAATCTGCAGACGAACCACTTGTGAGTAAACATCTTAAAAATAACTCAGGAAAACAGAGTGTCCAAACTGCAAGTAAAACCGAATGCAATACTGAGCTGTGAGGATGTAACAGCAGCAAGACGATGCAGCCAGAGCCACGCTCAGAGGGAATTTGGTCGCCACACAACTTTTATCACTGCCCAGCAAAGACGGGAGATAAATGAACTTAGCATTTAAGTCAGAGCTGGGGGGGGTCCTCACAGAACGGAACAATGCAACCAAAGGTGGGTCCTTTGTAGAGATGAGTGTGGTTAGAAAACCACCCTGAACCCCTTACAGCGCTCAGCACTAGGAGTGAAAACAGAACACAGGCCCGGCTGCAGGAGGTGAGGGAGAAAACTGAACACCGGGACCACAGACGACACCAAACGGTGCGGAGGAGCCACCCCCGGGAGACCCTGTGTCCACAGGGGAGTTTGCAGCCAACACAAGGAAGAGCAGCCCCCTCACCCTCAAGATCAGGGTCCTGCAACCCAGAAAACCACAGCCCCGTGAGCTACCAACACAGGCCAGGCAGAGCACTGTGAGGGGCGCCAAGCTGGTTAAGCAGCCCCTCCCCTCCCTCCCCCCGCCCCCGTGAGTCCCTCCTCCCGCTGGACTCCCTGGCCGGCAGGGGCGATGGGGTCAGCAGTGCTGAGCACATGCACGGGCGGCCCCTGCCCGCCGGGAGCGCACCTCGGCCCTGGGACTTGGCCACGGGCGGCCCCTGCCCGCCCGGAGCGCACCTCGGCCCCGGGACTTGGCCGCAGGCTTCAGGATCCAGATGTTCTGGAGCCCGTCGATCTCCGTCTGAGGGCTCACGGACATGATCCTACGCAGGAGCGTCTGGCACTGTGACAGGTAATTCCTCGAATTGCAGATGAAGGCACCATCGCTGCAGAGCAAGATCCAGGAGCGCGTGAGCTCTGGGAGCCGGTGCCCACCCCATGGGCCAGGCACGGCCAAACCGGGGCAGGCCACGGCATCCTGCCGGCCGGGGGACACTTGGGACGCAGCCCTGCGAGGCTGACCCTGCCCGGGGCCAGGTGAACAGCGAGGACCCCGGTCTGTGGATCTGCACTGGGGTGCACTCCCCAGGGGAGGCCAGGCCAGAGGTGGTGCCGGGACAGTGTCCTGGTCGTGAGCTGACCTGCCGCACAGGCCTGTGCCGCTCAGCGGCCACCTTGCATCCTGGGCACTGGATCACGATACTGCCCTGCTTAGGGAGGCGTGTGGCACGTGTAGTGGTACGCAGATGACACAGCGATATGCGGCAGTACACAGAAATCTACAGCGATGCAGAGTGCATTCACAGTCACACGCAGTAGTACATGCGCAACAGGAACATAGGCAGTGCACAGTGTACATGGTGGTATAAACATAACAGTAACGTGAGGCAGTGTGTGTGACAGTGCCACAGGGTAGTGCAGAGTACACGCAGTAACACAGTAACACGCAGTAACACGCGGTAGCACACAGTAGTACACATATACAGTGCCACAGGGAAGTGCAGAGTACACACAGTAACACAGTAACACAGTAACACGCAGTAACACGCGGTAGCACACAGTAGTACACATATACAGTGCCACAGGGAAGTGCAGAGTACACACAGTACCACAGTAACACGCGGTAGCACACAGTAGTACACATATACAGTGATACAGGGTAGTGCAGAGTACACACAGTACCACAGTAACACGCGGTAACACACAGTAGTATACATATACAGTGCTACAGGGTAGTGCAGAGTACACACAGTAACACAGTAACACGCGGTAACACGCAGTAACATACAGTAGTATACATATACAGTGCTACAGGGTAGTGCAGAGTACACACAGTACACACAGTAACATGCAGTAACATACAGTAGTATACATATACAGGGATACAGGGTAGTGCAGAGTACACACAGTACACACAGTAACATGCAGTAACATACAGTAGTATACATAATACAGGGATACGGGGTAGTGCAGAGTAACATGCAGTAACATACATAATACAGTGATACAGGTAGTACAGAGTACACACAGCAACACGCAGTAGTATACATAATACAGTAACACAGGGCTGTATAGAGCACACGCAGTAGTATACATAATACAGTAACACAGGGCTGTATAGAGCACACGCAGTAGTATACATAATACAGTAACACAGGGCTGTATAGAGCACACGCAGTAGTATACATAATACAGTAACACAGGGCTGTATAGAGCACACACAAGTACACACAGTAGCAAACAGCAGTATCCATAATACAGTAACAGGGCTGTGTAGAGCAGTGCACATACAATGTGGTAACAGGGTAGTGTGCAGTCGCACGTATTCAGATGATAAGTACTATACAGTCTATTTATAGCATATATCACGGGCCCGCCCCCACGCCCCTGGGAGGCCCCGCCCCTGGGCTTACTGCACCAGCGAGTAGTACTGCTGGGTCAGGTCCTGCCACTCGGCCTCGGTCAGCTCCTCCGCGGCGTCCAGCACATCGATGTCCTCATGCTCCAGCTGCCCCAGGTAGGCCTGGCACACCCTGCATGCAGCGTCCACCAGCTGCCCCGAGAGGCCCCTGAGCTCGGGATCTGCGGCAAAGCACAGGCCCCGGGATGTTGTGGGGCCGCGCTGCCCCGCCCCCGCCCACCCCTCTGCAGGCCACTTCTGCGTCTGCGCAGGGGGCCCGCGCCCTCCTGCTCCTTGCACACCCCTCCCACATGAGGGAAAGAGGAGCCCAGGACCCCCAGCACCTGGGCTGCAGCCCCATGAGTCCCCCAGCACCACCCAACTCCCCCCCTTCCCTGCAGACCCCTTAGAACCGGTACCAGCTGGAGCTGCAGGCTGTCCCCGTCTGACCTTTAGGCCGACCCTTCCGCCATTTCCACAAGGGGCCGGGAAGTGAGTGGTACCCGAGCCCCTCCCGAGCCCCACCCACACCTGGATGGTGCCGCAGAGCCCCGCGGGCGGAGCCCTGGCCCTCTCTGCCCAGTGTGTACTGTTCCTGTAAACATGCCTGCCTCCCGGCTGGCCTCACCCAAGTCTCTTCCCTGAACCTGGACCCGCTGGCCACGTCACCCCACACCCAGCTCCTGGGGACGCTCGCACACTTGGGGCTTGGTAGCACGCTGTGAACACAGCCGGCAGCCTGGGGCCACGGAGCACCCCAGGAAGCCCCTGCCCTGGGGCTGGAGGAGGGCGGCCCCAAGCACACGCCACCACCGGGGGCTTGGGCACCGCGGCTGTGGGGGCAGCAGCGACGGCTGTGTGCGGCTGGCGGGAGGCGAGGCGGCTTGGCCGCTTCCCTCTCCTGCGGCACGTCCGTCCAGCGGCTGGCCGCTCCTCGGTGTCTGCCTGGCGGGAAGCTTCCAGATGTTTCCGTAGTGTTTACTCATGGCTGCCAGGGCCTGGAAGCAGCGGCAGGCCCCTGGACGTCAGCCCGTGAGAAAGCTCTGCCGACAGACAGCACGTGCACACCCCCAGGTGGCAGGGTTGAGAGGCTGCCCAGGGCCCCGACTCGCTGACCTCCTGAGAAAGGCCAAGCTACGGGGACAGGGGAAAGTCCGGGTGGGCAGGGGGCAGTGGAGCTCATCTGCCTCGTGTAGCAGTGGACATGTGTCCCGACCCACCTGTCACTCACCCATCTGCCAGCTCCCATGGCTGGCCCCCACGGGGAGCCCCACCTGTGCGCCGTGGACTCTGGGCATCCACAGTGTCTCAGCAGGGGCTTACCAGTCGGGAGCCCCTCTGGCTGGCGGTCCAGGGACCTGAGGTTCCCCCATGAGCAAAGCAGAACCTCACTCAGTTGACCACAGGCAGCAGCTGGGCATTAGTTATGAGGTTTCTTAAAAAGGCTCATGGGAAAATGGAATTATAAGCTAAACTAATTTTGTTGCAAAAAGATTCAAATCATATATGCAAGGGGTCTTCGGAGACTTCATGGAAAATGTGTATTATGAAAAAACCGTGGATTTTTAAGATGTTTTGTACCAAAACTAATGTGTAATTCCATTTTCCCATGAGACTAAGTTCCTTCATGTGTGTCTTTTTTAAAGTTTTATGGCTTTTTAAAAGCATATTTATTTGTTTATTCACAAGGTAGATGGAGAGAGATCTCCCTGCTGGTTCACTCCCTAGATGGCTGCAAGGCCCAAGCCCCTGGGCCATTTCCCACTGCTTTCCCAGGCACCTTAGCAGGGAGCCGGAAGGGGAGCAGGCGGGACGCTGGCGTCACAGGCGGTGGCTTAGCCAGTGGTGCCATAGCGCCAGCCCCCTTCCATGCACGCCCTGCCTTCCCACCCCGAGGGTCCCGTAAGGAGCTGCTCGGCGTCCAGCCAACCACAGGCTGCTCACTCGGTGACCAGCGAGCGACGTCTGCTCTCTGCTCAATCCCTGTTTGTCCAGTGAACTCTAAGTGAAGCCCGTGGGCCGCGGCGTCGCCGGGGAAGTGGCCACGCAGTTCGCCTTGGAACCTCAAACTGCTCTTAACATAAACTCGGAGCAAGGCTCTGTGGGCTCTGCAGTCCTGAATCCACCACCACAGGCACATCTCTAATGGCAGCAGGCCTGCCGTGGATTATGGGATGTGGCACAGGCCACCAATGGATACAGTAGACAAGATGGACGGGGTGGGCGCCGGGCGCAGTGGTGAAGTCGCCCCCCCAATCCCATATCAGAGTGCCTGGTGCGAGTCCCGGCTCCTCTGCTTCCAACCCCAGCTTCCTGCTAACGTGCACCTGTCAGGCAGTGCCGCAGGGGTGCGTCAGCCTTGCCTGGCCCTGGCTGTCGCCAGTGCTTGGGGAGTGAATCAGCAGATGCAAGGTGTCTGCCTCCCAAATAAATAACTTTTTTAAAAAAGAAAATGTGTTCTCTTAAAAATCAAACAAAGGGTCTGGCTACGACAGCCCAGCCCCACAGTCAGAACGAAAAGCGGGTGTCAGGACAGACAGCTGCGAGCCGGCCCGCCCCACCCGGCGCACCTCTCCTGCCGCCTGAGTCGCTGTCCCTGGCCTCCTCCCTCCTGGCCTTGGCTCTGCTTCTGCTGCTGCAGCTCTGGTGGCTGACCACCCACTTGAGGATGCTGGACGCGGCCGTGCGCCGAAAGTCGTCTGAAAGGACAGCGAGGGCCTGGGCCTCGACACGCAGCCGGCAGCACAGGCTCCTGTGTCTGCCGCCCACCCCAGCGGGCAGAGGCAGGACCACAGCCACCCCCCCCCCAGGCCGGGCCCCGTCTCACTCACCCAAGAACTCCTGCTTCTCGCTCTCGGTGCAGAGGCCGTAGCAGCGTGGGAAGAAGGAGTCGGGGTTGGCCTGGACGTACCACGGCAGGCTCCGCATGCTCAGGCACAGCCCGATCTCCACAGACAGACAGCGGCGCGTCAGGCCAGGCCCAGAGGAGGGCGAGGGCTGCAGAGGCTGCCAGCGCGGTGGGCGCTGCCTCCACCTGCAGGCCCCGAGTCGGCCTCAGAGGTCAGACGGCTCAGGCTCCAGGGGAGGGGCCGCACTTCGGGGCCCGGATCACAGCCCCAGGCCCCGGCTCTGTCCACTGCCCAGGACTGTCCCCGAGTCCCTGTGCCCCAGCGTCCAGAGCAGACCTGGGGCCCAGGACGGCAGTGCCACTGACTGGCTCCATGCACGGCATCATTGCAGGGGCAGCACTGCCCTACAGTGGGCAGCCCCGGCCTGGCAGAGCCGCCCTGGGCACTGACCACACACAGGGGTCGCTGCCACCTTCCAGGTAAGACAGGCAGGGCGAGCGTGAGGAGGACAAGCGGGGCTCCAAGGGGGCCAAGGGAGGTCAGGTCTCCCCCTGCCTCATCTGTCCCCTCTTGGTCAGAGCAGGCCATGCCAGCTTTGTCTGCAGAGGGGTCCCTGTGTACCACGGAAGTGTCCCTGGGGACCTGTCCCTGAGCGAGGACCACCAGGCCCCGCCCCTGAACCTCAGACCCTGGGTGTGGCCGCCTGGAGAGAGGTCCTGAGGCTGGAGAGGTGGGGGTAGAACAGCTGCTGGTCGGGCACTCCTGCTGCCTCCTCTGCACCTACAGCCCCTCAGGGAGCAGGGCAGGCGGGACCAGGAGGCAGTCCCCCAACCCCCATCTTCAACTTGGCCTGTGAGCCCGGAGGTGGGGGCTGAGCCCAGAGCAGCTGGGGCAGGTGTGGAGTGGCAGTGGCTGCGGCGCCAGATGGGGTCAGCAGAGGTGCCAAGGGGGACCGTCCTGAGGGGCCCCAGCCCCGCCCCCGACCCCAGCCACCGCTCACCTTGGTGGTGAAGGAGGCCGTCTTCCCGAAGTGGTTCAGCATCTGGTCCCCGGCCAGGTTGTGGTAGTCCACGGCGTCCCTCTTGATGGTCCAGAGCAGGTGCGGCGTCTCGTTCTTCACCAGCCTGGACTGGCAGGGAAGCCCCGTCAACACCCAGGCTCAGGCGGGGCCCCAGAGGGCGGGGGGCAGGCCCTCCAGCCCAGGGCAGGGACATCGGGCCAGAGGCAGGGGTGTGGGGCCCTCCAGCCCAGGGCAGGGACATCAGGCCGAAGGAAGTGGAGGTGTGGGGGACTGATGATTTTGTCTGGTTTGGCCCCAAAGTCCAAGCACACAAAGAAACACAGGAAGAGAAAGCATTCTCCAAACACCTGACACCTCGGCACATGGACACGCACACACGTGTGCACCCTGGCCTCCTACACGCCACATCCCCCCAGCAGTGCAGGGCTGGCCCGGGGCCTCCTCCTGGGCACCGAGGGACGGGGAAGGAGCAGGACCCTGGGAGCCCACGCCCCACGTTCCACCCCACGTTCCACCCCACGTTCCTTCCTCCACCCACACTAAGCTGCCATGGCTGCCGTCGGGGAAGTCGTCTTTGTTAAAGCACATTGTGAATTCTGAGAAACACGAGGCCACGAGCACACGGAAGACCCCTCCCCAGCACCCCTGCAGGGAGCTGCTGCCACCAGGACTGTGCCCACTTCTGGGCGCCGGGAGCTGGGGGGCCTGGGGTGAGGAGGTCCCCTGGTAGCTCCTCCAGGACGGCCACAGTGTCCTAACCACAGAGACCCCAGGGAGCCCCCTGCCTCTTCTAGCAGGTGGGGACATGTGGAACCTGAAGGGGGCGCCCTGATCTCAGTGGCCAGAGCACTCACACTACCTCTCAGTGTGCCAGCAATCCCACATGGGGGCTGGGAGGGTTCACACGATGGCCACACCGCGGGGCCCTCCCTGACACAGCTCCTGTGCCCTGGACGGGAGCCAGCCTACCTCTGCAGCCCACAGATGGACCCAGTTCCTCAAAACCACCGCCTGTGGAGCGGACTTGGTCCCTGGACTTGGCCAGCTCGGGGGTGCGCGGCTGGTCCTACCCTTGTGTCACCAGTGAGCAGGCCTTCTCATTCTGCACATTCGCTCCACAGTGCCTCCTCCCACCCTGTGCTTTCTCTTGGTCCCCAGTTCACAGAGGGAGAGGATAGGGTCCCAGAGTTCCCAGGCCTGGGGAGGTGGCCTCCCCTGTGGCTGTGAGACGGGAGGCCCTGCCCCACTGGCCACGCCAGCCCCTGTACCCGGAGCACCTCCAGCTGCTGCCGGCCGCAGCCCAGGGCCCGCAGGGCCTCGCAGTTCCCACATTCACGTGGAGCTGCTGGCACCGGCCTGTGCGGCTTACTGTGGGGTGCAGGGGGAGCAGGCTGGGCACAGCCGGTTCATCCAGAGGGGTCTGCTCGGCCCACCCCTGGTCCAGCCAGGCGCCGAGGCCGCCCAGTGAAGGCCACTATGGCTCAGACTTCATTGTCCCACCCCGTGAGTGACTGAGCAGGACAGCACCTGTACAGCCGAGCACACTGGAGACCTACCATCATGTCATGGATGGTCTCTGCTTTCTCCAAGGCGACTTGCTGGCTTTCTTTTACTTCAGTACATTTGTGGTCTGCAAACACCAGGGAGAGGGGCGATGCTGCCGACATGGTCAGCCAGACTCTCGCTGGCCACGGAGCCTCGTCCAGGAGGGGCAACAGTGGAACAGGTGTCCCGTGGGGCCTGCGTCGGGTATGGGGCACGCACCCCACCAGGGACCGTGCAGGCTGGGCCCTGGGAGCCTGAGCGTCTCAGGTGCAGGGCGGTGGGCCAGGGACATTGGATCTGCGATGGTGGCAGGGTGGGGAAAGGGGCCTGTGGGGACCTGGGGCTGGGGCGGGCAGGGTCTGGCCACCGGAGGGTGACAGAAACCACCCAGCAGGACCCCCTGTCCTGCAGTGGACATGGGGACGTGAAGTGACCAAGGGCGGGGGTGCCCAGGCACAGATGCCTGGGTGGGAAGGCAGGTGGGTGATGGAGGGGGCGTCCACGATACTCTACCAGGGACCCCCTCCCCGCTGTCCTCGGCACCCAGAGGGCCCTTGGGCAGCACGGGGAACTTCTCCACCCAGCCCTTCCTCCGCAGAGCTGCCCGGACCACCGGGAAGTGCCCGTAGATGGAGAAGATCTTCTTTTCCTAAAACGGCAAGAGCAGGTCCCCCACTCAGGCGCTGAGGGCCAGCTGTGTGGCAGGTCTGCTCCAGGGACACTGGGCCGCGTGCACACATGAGCAAGGAGGGGCCGGGGCCTGCTGGACACACACCCGACAGGTCACACAAGGTGCTAGCAGCCCGCACGTGCTCCTGCCGTGACTGCCTGGCCACGCCCACTCACACACATGCTCACACGTGTGCTGTGCCATGGGAGAAGGTAAGGTATGGGGATGCTTTCATGCACGGTGGGACTGACATTGGATTTCTCCACGACCCTTCACTGCCAGGTCGCTGGACAGAGGGTGCTGGGCATGGAGCTGTCTGTGCCCCTCCATCTTCACTGTCCAGAGCTGGAGACCCCAGCCGTGCCTGCCACATCCAAGGTCAACTTGGAGTCATGGTGTCCAGCTCCTCTCTCTGCGCACACAGGGGCAAGTGTGACCCCCAGTGGGACAGAGGCAAGGGGGATGGCATGAAAGGCCTCTGGGTAACCTGGAACTTGGTTCTGGTCCAAGACAGGCAGGGCCAGGTCAGGCCCAACACCCTGCCCCGGCAGTGCTGGCCACTGGGTGGAGCGGGGCCAGAGAAGCATGGTCCATTCCAGACATGAGTGACAGCTCAGAATGTGCGTGTAGGGGAGGCCCCAGGCGGCAGAGGCTGAGGGGAGGGAGCCCTGATCCAGGGCTGACCTAGGCGCCCCTTGGCCAGCGCTGTGGAGCAGGGGAGTAAGTGTGGCCTGCAGCACTGGCGTCCCATACGGTGCTGGTGTGAATCCTGGCCGCTCCACTCCCCAGCCAGCTCTCTGCTAACGCAGCTGAGAGCAGTGGAGGATGGCCCAAGTATTTGGCCCCTGCACTCGTGTGGGAGACCCAAAAGAAGCTCCTGGCTCAGTCTGGCCTAGTCCTGGCCACTGTGGCCATTTGGGGAGTGAACCAGCTGATGGAAGATGCGTGTGTGTGTGTGTGTGTAACTCAGGCTTTCAAATAAATAAATGAGAAATCTCTAATAATAATAATAATAATAATAATAATAAAAGAACCCCCTCCCCACAGAGTCCCAAAGGTGCTGACCTTGATGGCTCTGTCCGTCAGCTGCCTGGCTATTTTGAATTTGTCCAGTCTGGGAGAAGAGGCCGGGTCCTGTGCAATTCCTTGCTTCAAGGCTGTGAAAGAGAAACCAGCAGTCGGCCCGGCCTGGGAGGCGCAGCTGGGCCCCGTCTGGACCCCAGGTGCTAGGGGCACAAGGAACAAGGCCGACTCCTCTCTGGCCCCAGACACCACATCCCCAGGTCACTCCCCAGCCCACCCACGTCCTGGCCACCACGACACCGACAGTGGCTGAGCAGCCCACTCTGCCTCGTTGCCCAAGCCCTGACGTGGAGCCCTCATACCTGCACCTCACCGTCCACCCACCCACTGGACATCTGGGCTAGTGCTCTGCCCAGAGCACCTGGCCTCCAAGGGCCCTGATCAAGGTATATCCCGGGGGCTCGGCCCAGCCTCCAGGTCTCTACCACCCCTGGAGAACCACACCCACCGGCCAGCTGAGACAAGACCAAGACAGCCAGGCTGGACAGCAGCGGAACCACGGTCCACGCAGCCGCAGCAGCTGCCTGCTGCCTGCTCAGCATCCATTGCGGGTGTGGACACTGACTCCCGGCTTCAGCCGGCCCAGCCCGGCCTGGCCACTGGGTGCATTTGAGGAGTGGGCAGCTGATGTGAGTTTCCTCTATCTGTTTCCTTCTGTCCATCTCTCCCTCTGTTTTCTCTCAAATAAAAATATTTGTTTAAAAAAATAAAAATTTTTTAAAAGAAATCAACTCCATAATAAAAATGCTACCCAAAATGAAAATTCCTTGACATCTCAAATCAACCTTTCCAAACTTAAAAATAATTCTTAAAATGTTTTATTTATTAAAGAGACCTAAAGGCACAGAGAGAGAGAGAGGTCTCAGCTCCTAGTTCAGTCCTCAAATGCCTGCAGTGGCCAAGGCTGGGTCAGGGCTGACGCCGGGAGCTCATCCAGGTCTGTGTGGGCAGCAGGCCTCCACGCCTGGGGACGCAGGTGCATGGGGCCCCCAGCGACAGGGTGCAGCACCTGGTTCTAGTCGTAGTCAGAAAAGATGCAGAAGGCAGGAGGCAGAGAGCTCCCCACATACCCCCTCCCCAGCAGAGAGGCCGCGCCTCCCCCTGGGGGAGTGCGGAATCAGACGCTGGTCTCAGGCCTGAAACCCAGGCCTCCACCTGCAGCTGGGCCTGTGGACCCCTCCGCCGGGCTGCCAAGGGACTACAGGTGCTGGGGATGGGACAGGGGAGTAGGCTTAGCACTTGGCCTTGGAGCTCAGAGCCTAGCAGCCAAGACGTCTGGACTACATCCCGTGCTGGAACACGGGAGCGTGAGAGGCAGCTCCTGCTCCCGACCCCAGCTTTCTGCCAGTGCAGGCTCTGAGAGGCAGGCGAGGGCTCAGCTAACCTGGTTCTTGCCAGCCACATGGGAGGCCTAGGTTGGGCTTCCAGCTCCCGGTTTGGGCCTCGGCTCAGCACGGACATTGAAGGCAGGTAGGGAGCGGAACAGGAGTGTCTCCCTCTCTCCCTCCCTCACAGAGGTGTGAAGAACACACATCAGAGAAGGAAGTCTCTTCAGCAAATGGTGCTGGAGAACAGGATGCCCAGAGTTAGCAGAACGGGCAGGATCTCTACTGAACCATGAAAGGAGCGGCCGTGAGCCACCATAAAAGTGGCCTTAATGAAATAGAAAAGTGGGGCTCCTGAGACAAACAGTTCCAGAGACGGCCTTGGGAAATGGGGAGTAAACCGGTTCACAGAGAAAGCAGTCAGCTACTAACCAGAGATACGGGCAACAGAACATCCTGCTATGTAGATAAGCCCCCTCCCCTGTGCTTGCTCAAGCTTAACAAAGAAACCGCAAGGCACGTAGGGCACGTAGCCACCCCTTTCCCCTCCTCAATGACCCCCTCCCCTTGTCCAAGCTTAGACACGTAGGGCACGTAGCCACCCCTTTCCCCTCCTCAATGACCCCCTCCCCTTGTCCAAGCTTAGACACGTAGGGCACGTAGCCACCCCTTTCCCCTCCTCAATGACCCCCTCCCCTTGTCCAAGCTTAGACACGTAGGGCACGTAGCCACCCCTTTCCCCTCCTCAATGACCCCCTCCCCTTGTCCAAGCTTGGACACGTAGGGCACGTAGCCACCCCTTTCCCCTCCTCAATGACCCCCTCCCCTTGTCCAAGCTTGGACACGTAGGGCACGTAGCCCCCGTTCCTCCTCCTCCTCGACGACCTCCTCCCCTTGTAGTCGCCCAATAAACTTACGCCACCCTATGGTATGTTAATTTTGTGGTTTTGCCCCTGAAAAGCTGTGTGAGATAGCTGCTCGGGGCTCCTCTCTCTTGCTCGCTGCTTGTGGCAGCAGAGGGCCCATTTGCGCAAATGAAATAAAACTGCCTCCTGTTTTTTTGCATCGTCTGGTCTGGAGTCTGTGTTTCTGGGGTCGTCACAAAAGGACACCGCTTTTGGGGTCCTTCAAACCACATTCCACAAACGGCTCAAAACCTACTAAAGACTCAGCTGTAAGACTGAGATTAAAACAGGGCGGCTTCGAGAGATGGGAAGAGAAAAGGGTTGTTGTTTTTTTTTTTTAGGTAAGATCCCAGGAGAACAGGAAACAAAAGCAAAAACAGACAAATGGGGTCGCAGAAACCAAAATGCTTTGGCATACCTAAAGAAGCAATCAAGACTTATGAGACCGTCTCCAGAGCGGGAGGGAGTGTTCGCAAGTTAGGACGTGCTCAGGATCCAGAACACACGAGGAGCGCAACAGCGAAAACAACTTGGTTTAAAAATGAGCCAAGATCGAAATAGATATTTTTCAAAGGAAGACATACAGGGGCCGGTGCTGTGGCTCAGCGGGTTAAAGCCCTGGCCAGAGGCGCCGGCATCACATGTGGTTCTAATCCTGGCTGCTCCTCTTCCAATCCAGCTCCCTACTATGGCCTGGGATAGCAGAAGATGGCCCGAGTCCTCCCACGTGGGAGACCCAGAAGAAGCTCTTGGCTCCTGGCTCCAGATCGGCGCAACTCCAGCTGCTGCGGCCATCTGAGGAGTGAACCGGCAGATGGAGGACCTCTCTCTGTCTCTACCCCTCTCTGTGACTCTTTCAAATAAATAAAATAAATCTTTTTTTTTAAAAAAGGAAGACATATAAACGCTCAGAAGTTCATGAAATATTGATCAACATCACTCATTCTTAGAGAAATGCAAATCAAGACCACAACGTGGTACCCCGTTCCAGCTGCAACGGCTTTCAGTTTAAAAACCTTAAGTTCTGTGAGGATGTGGAGAAAGCAGAATCCTGGTGGGAGTGCAAATGAGCGCAGCCATTGTGGAGGGCAGCACGGGTCTGTGGGATTCCGAAACCCCACCATGGGTGTACACCCAAAGGACAGAGCGGCACTCCCAGGCTTATACTGCGCGGCTTACGATAGCCAGGACATGCAGCCGATCTGTGTCCACGAACGAGGGAAGGGATCAATGTGGTCCAGGAACACAACGGATCATCCCGCCAGAAGAATGGGACCATGTGGTGTGGACGGAATCAAGTGAGCTCACTCAGGCAGAGATCCGAACACCACATGGCCTCCCTCAGACCGAGCGCCATGTGGCCTCACTCAGAGACCTGAGCAGCACGTGGCCTCACTCAGACGCGCAGTCTAAGTCGACCTTGAGGCGCGGCAGGTGATAACAACTGTGAGGGAGCGCTGGGCGCTGCTCCCTTCCCACCGGCTGGGAAAAGCATCGGAGGATGGCCCAGGTGCTTGGGTCTGTGCCCCCGCGTGGGAGACGTGGAGGGAGCTCCAGGTTCCTGGCTTCAGCCTGGCCCAGCCCTGGCTGTTGTGGCCATCTGGGGAGTGAACCAGTGGATGGAAGCTCTCTCTGTCTCCTTTTCTTTCTGTAACTCAGACTTTCAAAAATATTTTTTTTTTTGACAGGCAGAGTGGACAGTGAGAGAGAGAGACAGAGAGAAAGGTCTTCCTTTGCCATTGGTTCACCCTCCAATGGCCACCACGGCCGGCACATCGTGCTGACCTGATGGCCGGAGCCAGGTGCTTCTCCTGGTCTCCCATGTGGGTGCAGGGCCCAAGCACTTGGGCCATCCTCCACTGCCTTCCCTGGCCACAGCAGAGAGCTGGCCTGGAAGAGGGGCAACCGGGACAGAATCCGGCGCCCCGACTGGGACTAGAACCCGGTGTGCCGGCGCCGCAAGGCGGAGGATTAGCCTAGTGAGCCGCGGCGCAGGCCAAAATATTTCTTTTGTTTAAAGCTGGTGTCACAGAGGCGGAGGGGAAGCTGGTGGTTTCCAGAGCTGGGCAGTAGGGGGCACAGGGTGAGCCTGATGACGGGGCTCACTCACAGCTGACAGAGGTAGGACATTCTGACACTCTACTGCACAGCAGCGTGACCACAGACAGTGACAGTGTACTCTTTCTTCTTAAAAAAAAAAAAAAAGAGAGAGAGAGCTTTTATATTTCACCATAAAGAAATAACTGAGGATATTCAGATAGTTATCCCAATTTGAACAATACATAGAGTATGCGTACACTGAATCACCCACAAGTACGTACAGTTGTTACGTGTCTGTGAAAACATTTAAGAGAGGTGAGCCGTGCAACACTGCCTGGGAGGCCCACACCCCGAATCGCAGCAGTGGGCTTCGAGTGCCAGCTCCACCTGCTACCCAGCTTCCCGCTCAAGTACACCCAGAGAGGCAGCAGGCTGGGCCCGGCCTCTCAGGTGGGAGACCTGGATGCAGCTCCTGGCTCCTGGCTTTGGCCTGGCCAAGTCCTGGCTGATGTGGGCATTTGGAAAAGTGAACCAGCAAACAGAAAATCTCTGTCTCTCCGTCTTTCCAATAAATAAAAATTTTGCAATATAAGGAAAAAGGAAGAAAAGAATGGAGAGACCTCACCAAAACACACACACACACACACACACACACACACACACACACCCTTGGGGCACATGGCCAAGCACAAGCTGAGTCCGCAGCTATTCACAGGAAAGAGGGGCTGGACCCTGACCCACCGACCCTACTTCCCAGGGAGCGGCAGGAGTCCCTCTCTGGACAAAGGAGCTGGCCAGGGCTTACTAAACCAGAGTCGGGAAGATAGACAAGCGGCTCCGACCCTCAGAAGACCCCCAGAGGGATAAGGCGGCCAGCCACAGGCACGGGCAGGCAGCCACAACCGCAGGGTTCTCCAGAGTCCACAGGAAACTGAATTAAAAGGTAAGTTTATCTCGCTCCAAAAAATGCTGAGAAGCCACGCACACAAGGAGTCTCCGGAAAGACCATGGCGATGTGCATCACGCACGCAATGACGCCCGGGTTTCTGACCAACTTGGTTCCAAGGTTGTACGCATCCGACAAAGCGCTGGGGACCTGCAGCTGCGGAGGATTTCCCGGGACACGCACCCACATCGGTGACCGACACAAAAGCAGCTGGCGCTCTGCGCCCCCGCAGTCCCGGGAGTGGAGTCCAGGCGCGGTGGAGGGGAGCCGGGGGCGTGCGGTGCGGCTCTCCCGAGCTACGCCAGACCAGACGGGAGAGCGCACGAGATCCCCCTGAATCGCCGCCGGGACCGCCCTTCCCGCCCGCAGCTCCCTCCAGGGCCGCGCGCGCTGACCAGCGGGACCGCGGCAGGTGCGGGCTCAAAAGCCCCGCCCCCTCCCGCCGTCCCCTGGGCTCGGCGGCCGCGCAGTCCGTCGGCCCAGCACAACCAGAGCGGCCTCAGGCGCAGCGGTACCGACTGTGTTCTTCCCTCCGGTCTCCGTCCGACGTGGTGGACGACGGCCTCTTCTCGCCCGGCTCCATTCCGGCGTCCAGCGGCTCGCCCGGCCGGCCCCCGGCCCCTGGGGATTAGCGGGGGGAAGGGGGTGTCCCTAGTGGTGAGCGAGGTCGGGAGCCGGGCCTGGTCTGGGACCCGGGGGGTCGCGTTTAGGGCCGGGGTTGGGGCACGGGTCCGCTGGTGGGGAAGTAGGGGATCAGGTCCAGGATCCCGGGGTCGAAGGACAGGTCCCGGGAGGGGCGCGGTGCAAGGGGCGCAGATTGGAATTCCAGAGGTCGGGACGGGGAGAGATTCGGAGGGCGGCTGGGCGAGGGGCAGCAGAACCGGCTGGGGACTCGGCTCACCGGCGGCCTGCCCAGACGCTCGTTCCGCGCACCCGCCCCCTGCGGCGCTGCCCGGCGTCCCGCGGTTGCCCGGGGCGATGGCCCCCGGCCGCTTGGCGGCTTGCGCGGCCCGCGAGCGCTGGCAGCGTCGCCGGGGGAGAGTACGGCAGCGGCCGGCCCAGGGCGTGGGGCTGCGCGGGCGCGCTGGGGGCTCCGGCCGCAGGTAGCGGCGAGACCGGTGTAGGCGAGCGGGGGCCACGGGGCCGCAGGTGGCGGCACCCGGGCTAAGCTCGGGTTCTGGTCCCGGGCTGAGGTTCGAGGCGCGGCCCGGGCGGGGGCGGGGGCCGGGGCGCTGGGCCGCGCGGGCCATGCGTCCGGGAGGACCCGCGTGTGACCAGCCACCCCCGCCCGGGTCATGCGCTCGGGTCTCCCTGCGGGCCGGGCCGTGCGGGTCACACAGACCCGCCCAGCACCCCGCCCCCAAGTCACAAAGACTGCCCGCCACACCCCGTCCCCTCCCCCCAGCATCAACCATTCCTGGGGGTCTCTGGGACTCTCAGCTTGCCCTGCTACAGGGGTTGGGGCCGGGGTTCCCGGATCAGCTCACCCACCCCGCGAAGGAGTTTGGAGAGGCCTTGGTGACCCCCACCCCGTGCTCTGCCCCCAGTCCTCACGGACTCCACAGCCCAGGGCAGCTACTTCCTTGTCTGCCCAGCGTCTTGGGGAAGGGGACTCCATCAGCCTCTTTGCCAGGTTTGAAATCGCCTTTGTATCTGACCCCCAGGCACCCCGAAGGGAGGCTCCCCCCTCCAGAGAGAGACCCAGGCTCTCTGGGCCGCACCCCCAGACCCTAAATCGTGAATGAACCACAAGGGGCCCCTCCCCCAGCTGCCCTCCTGTTCAGAGCCCGCATGGAACAGGCTGGGCAGCAGTCGGGTTAGCATTTATTGTCTGAGCAGTGCACTACGTGAAACAAAGATGTCAGCCGAGACTTGGAAGCCTGATCCGCCTGGGTCCCAGAGCTCTCCACAGGAACAGAGCGCGCGCCAGCAGGGTCCCCGGGGCCTCCGCCGCCCTCACTGGCCCGAGGCCCCATGGCTCTCCCAGGCGCAGCCTCAGAGCTACAGGACGATGAAGGGTGTGGGCTGCACCGTGCTGGTGAGAGTGGCCTCTCTGGGGACATGACCAGAGTACTTGCCCAGCTGGCCCCTGGCTTTGTCCTTGCCTCCCAGAGCTGCTGGGAAGGGCAGGTGGCGTCGGGAGACCAAAACTTCCTGCCTGGCACTCTCCGCCTCTGGGGTCTTACCTGCGTCCCCCTCGTTTGGTTGAAACATCACAGATCTGGGAGCATCCTTGCCCTCACCCACCGCCCCACCAGGCTGCTGGGTCTTTGATCCTAAAAGCCTCAGGCCACAGCCGGGAACCAGCGAACACCCCTACCTTAGTGAATGTTGGTGCCTCCTGAACATGGCAGCTCATGTCCTCACACCCCCAGGGCGAGGGCGGCTTTCTGGATGAAAAGGCCAGCAGGAAAACAATTCCTAAGACAACGAACAAGGTCCCCTCCCGCTGGGGACACGTGGGTGCCTGTGTCCAGAGTCCAGGGCCCCAGGGGGATGGAGCTGGCGTGCAAGCCTGTTCTTTGCCATGGTTTCAATCACAGCCAATGCTGTTCGCACACTTCTTGGGTGGCAGAGGGTTCGTGAGTGCCCTGAGACCCCAAAACAGCAGAGATGGAGGAGACGCCTGGCCCACGCCAGCCTCAGGTGAGAGGACCAGGTGGGGGCAGGCAGAGCTGACTGAGGGTCCCAGAGGCAGGAGCTGAGCCTGCTCATCCAGGGCACGGCAGACACAAGCGCACAGGCCCCTTCCAGAGCCTTGCACCCGGCCCCTCCCCCAGAGAACTCAGAACTACCCTGTGGCATTGGAAGCTCGGAGCCGGACATCACCAGGCCAGTCAGGAGGCCAGTCCTTCTGCAGTGGCCATTTAAGGAGTGGGTCTTCCGTGGGAGGGGCGGCTGTCACACCCTGTGGAGCAGTACCCTGCCTCCACGCTGAGGTGGCCTCGCCTGGGAGGGTGCTGGCGTGGGAACACTGCAGAAGGGAAAAGCTGGAGGCGGGACGGTCTGCCCGAGGCTGGGCACATGTGGGCTGGCGTGGGGGAGCAGCTCACGCAGGTGGGCAGAGTGGACAGCAGACGCAGGCTCTCACACTGCCCCTTGCCAGCGCCGGCCTCACCCTAGGAACTGGGGCCGTGCTCATGGGAGGCGGCTCGAGCAGCACTGAACGGGCCAGTCGGACAAAATCTGCCTGTTGCGAGGTCTGACCATGTGAGAAAGGGACATTCTAGGGAGATGCGTTAGGGGGCAGCAGCCAGAGGACAGCCAGGGTCTGTGCAGAGCTGCGTGCGGGGCGGGCAGTGCCGCGACTCAGCTGTGCCATCCTGCAGTCACTGGGCCATCTGCACCACCACGGCCCTCCAGGCTTTCTCCTTGTCAAACTCCTTCAGGGGGCTCCTGGCCACCTGTGACCCAGAGAGAACGGCGTGTAATTAGGACGCAGCTCCAGAGGGAAGTAGAGGGGCCGCCGGGCGGCAGCCAGCTCCCTCCAGATGGAGAGTGGGGAGACGAAGGCCTGCTCTGCAGGTGGGAGGGGCCCTGGGGGCCGAGGTGACCCCACGCCTCCAGACCCGGCGGGGAGACAGCACAGCTGGGTGAAACAGCAGCAACGCACCACCAGGATGAGGGGAGGGCTGGGGGATGTCGAGATCCGCTGAGACGGGCTTGGCCAGAATGTGTTCCCAGGATGCAGTGGGCACAGCGTGCACAAGGCCCTGCAGCCAGTGGTGCGCAGAGCACAGAGAGCGGGACAGGAGACGGCACAGCCAGGAGGAGCTGTGGCTGCAGGGCGTGGTGGGCAGGCACAGAGGCCCAGCTAGGTGCTAGGGGCAGGCCGGTCACTGCGCCCAGAAGCAGTGGGCAGCTTTTCCCAGGGAGGACACTGCCAGGTCTGTCAGCTCACGGGAGGAGCCTCTCGGCTGTGGGGGGCATCGGGACTGTGACCTCCAGTCAGTGGTAGGCGTGGGGAGACCACTCACCTCCCCGGCTGGGCGCTGCCTCGGGCTGGGCTGGGCGTCCCAGGATGCGTTCTGCAACCTGGCACTGACCTTGAAGTCCACACACTGGACGGCGGTGCCCGTGTTGAGGCTGCCTTGTAGCAGCAGCACCAGCAGCAGCAGCAGCAGCAGCAGGTCATAGGCCTGCAGGGGGCAGGGCGGGATGTGAGGGAGGCAACCCCGCCCGCCCCAGGCATGAGACCCCTCCAGTCAGGGGAGACCCCTCCAGTCAGGGAGACCCCTCCAGTCAGGGAAG